AGGGAAAAGGTAAATCGAAGTAAACTTGAAGTTAGGCATTACTCAAGTGAAGCACAATTGATTGATATTTTCACCAAAGAATTAAAGATCGACTGATTCCTGAATTTAAGAAAGAAATTAGGAATAGTTCAGATTGACTACTTTTAAGTATGTTCGACCTTAGATTAAGGGGGTGTCTTGAAATATTAGATTAGATTTGATTAGATTTAATATTTAAATATAATCCAAATTTTGTAAGTCCAAGCCCAATTAGGGTTGTATATAAATAGTCATAGTGTATCCTTATTTTGTACAATACAATTCAAGTTAATAATAGAATACTTATTTCCTTTATTATTCTCTCTTTCTTTCATCACTAAAAGTACATCACACACTAACACAAACAACAAGATACCAATACAAAAGAGATGTGAGAATTCAAACACAATAAAATATTTTTTATTTTCCTAATAAAAATAACACTTGAAACAAATGTTTTTAATTTTAAATTAGTTCTTATACAATTTCAAAAATAAGTCATTACGAGTTGATCTTAAAATATAATACAATATGCAACAATTTTACCGTGTCTATATACTTTACTAGCTATGATATTTTTCATATAATACCAAATAATAAAAGACAAACAACAATATTTATAATTTCTCGCATATAATTTTTTTTAAATAGTTTACACTTTTGTTTTATAATAGTGATCGTAGAGATTATAGTAAAAAACAACTATGATAATGTCTAAAAAAAATACTCATATTTCAACTGATATCAACAACAAAATCAAATAATTTTTTTACAATCTCAATAATGAAAATTAAAATAATAATTAAATTAATATATTAACTAACATTTTTAACCCTTTATTCATCCGATAACTAAAATTCGACAAAATAGACATAAATTTTATAAAGTTATTGAAAATTTTATTTTATAATAATTATAAATAAACTTTTAATTTTATTTAACACTAAAAATAAATACATATATTTAACAAATTAAAATAAAATATCTAAATAAAAGATAAATACAAAAAAGACATGAGAATCAAAACAAAACAAAAAAAACCACTTTATAAATATTTAAGTTTGCAAATCTAAATTACATATACCATCTTCAATTTACAAACATATAATTTTCTTTTCAAGTAAAATGTATCATTATGGATGAAAGTAGTGAAAAATGTCACTTGTTGGTCAAAGGAAATGGAGTGATTTAATAAGGAAACTATGAGAAAAAACTTGAAGAGACAAGTACTCAAGATAACTTTAGGAGAAACCTTGCATGAGCTTTGGAGGAGGAGGAATAAAAGGATTTTCTCTCTGAAAATATCTAGATAAAAATATCATAGATAATATTACTCAAAAGATTAAGATTAGATATAGCCTATATAGAAAGTTAAGTATACATATTATTAAGGATACTTAACTTAGGTTTTGTTTGACTGTCTAGATTCTTGTGATCGGACTATGTTTTATTATTATTTTTTTAATAAAATTAATACTTTGTTTAAAAAAATAATAATTATTTATATGATTAATTTATATCATTGTATCTATTATAATTCACAAAAAAAAAATTATAATATAAATTTAATAATCATAATTTATCAAAACAAAATCTTAATATATTTAAAATTCAATAAAAAATTAACAAGTTAATTTACAGCTGGTGTTAATCTAGTTTATTATTATTATTATTATTATTATTATTATTATTATTATTATTATTATTATTATTATTATTATTATTATTATTATTATTATTATTATTATTATTCATCTAATTTATCATTTAACTAATATTATTTACATTACTTTAAAAATAATATTTTTTCTTTATATTTATGATCACAATAAATATATCAATACTTTTTTTTGGTTAAGTAAATATATCAGTACTTAATAAAACCAATTTGTTAAAAGTATTATTCGATTTCTTTTATCTTTTATCTACAAACAAAGGGATGATAATCACTAAACACACATACAACCAAAAGATTTTCAAATTTAAACTCAGATGTTAATGTCATCATTTAATTCATATTATCATCAAAATCAGAAGAATAATATCTTTTCACCATTTTTATCAAACCAAATGTACACAGATTCCACCATTTTATCTAATATCCATGTTCAAAATAGTGGAACCTACATTAATTTTATCAAAAGTTGTAAACTCTAGTGTAAGAAATACTACAAAACAATCAGATAATGTACAAGAACGTTGCCAATCATATACCAACTAATACATCAACAACTTATTTCCCCCCAAGTTTCCCTCCAATTTTAAGATTAGTTTGCAAGCATGGTTCTTTTCTTCACTTGCTAAGGGTTTTCGAACGAGTCTCCAGGATTCACATTCTCATCGTCTTTCAGGCTAACGAAAATCTCATGATCATCAAACCCTGCAAAAAGATGAAAACATGTTAGTCAATCACATTTTCTACCTGGCCAGCCTACCAGAAATTTCCACATTTGTTAACATAGATTACAGTTTACCTTCACAAATTTCTTCAGGTTCATCACTTAAAGGCCTTAAAAGCATTGTGTTAATGGAAGAAGAATCAAGTGTCATCCAATCCGAGTTACCATACTCTTCTATGTATAACTCCCGTGGCCTGATCCAGTCTTCGACATTAGAAATGTTGTCGAATGACAAGGGGTCACTAGATTCGTGTTCTTTATTCATAAACCTGAAAGAAAATCAAACAATTCAGTATAAGGTCTTTTCAGTTTCAACAGTATCGAAACAATTTATTGGTATACAACATTTCAAGCTTACATTTGTCTCAACCGCAAGTTGTAATGAACAAAGACAAAATCAGTAAGATGTTGGCGCTCTATATAATTCCTTGTATTGAATATTTGTTCAAGAGGAATTTGGTTTCTCTTGCAGAATATCACACTTGATGTTTGGCTAAGAATACGAATTGCTAAGCGTGACAAGTTAGGACAGCCTCCTCCATATGTTGACCACCATTCAGCTACAAAAAAGAAAATGTAAGTGAAAAGCTACGATGCATAGGTACGGGTATGGTACCTAATACATGATTACACTAGTATCATATTATCTAACTGAATAGATTATTGGCCACTTACTAGGAAGCAAATTATCTCTAGCTCTGATTGCCATCTTTCTCCCAAAGTCTCCTGCGCCCGACTTGTACAAGTTTAACTCTTTGATAATTTTATCTTGGACTCGTGTATCAGGAACCAATCTCTCTATGCAGTCAAACATCCCGGAGAGAATCTCACCGTGTATATCCCCTTGAATGCTATAGAAGAACTTTGGATTAAGAAAGAAACCTGCGGCTTGAAGAGGATGATGCCAAAGCCTATCCCATCTTTGATGTATAATATTCCAGTACACCATATAATCCTCCCTCTTGATAAGCGCTTTTTTAATCGCTTCTTTTGCTCGGTACATGCCAGCGTAGGTGTATCCCATCGCAGGTCTCATCTCACTCGAAGCTATTCTCAGAACTTTCAAGAGTGGAAGTGTCAGACGAACAATCATTTCACATGACGACCAAAATGTTTGATTGCTTATAATATCTAACATTTCCAAGCCTGCTGTTTTCTTTGAGTATGGACAATCCATCCATTCCTGAGAAGTAACCATGGCCTGTAAATTGTGTTTAAGATCAACCATTCTTTTCAATGTGGAGAAGCTTGTCGTGACGCGCGAGGACGAGGGATCCACAATATCGTTCCCTAAAGTATACCTTCTAACCATATTCAAAATTGCACTGTAATTGTAGACAAATCTTGTAACAGATTTTGCTTGTTCAATTACCGTACTAATCCACTCAAGATTTCCAAAATCTTCAAGTATCAAATCAATGCAATGAGCTGCAGAAGGGCTCCAATAAATGTTAGGAAAAGCATCATTCAGTCTTTTCCCGGCAACAGCATACTGTTCTTCTCCCGATGTAATCACTTGCACAACTTGCTCGACCCCGACTTCTTCCGCTACTTGTTTTATCAACTCGTATAGAAACTCCACTGATGTCGATATCTCAGTCGCATCCAAGGATTTCAGAAAGACTATTCCTTCAGGACAATAAGCCAAAAAACTTATCAGTATCCTACCAGCTTCAGTAGTCCATTGATCAACCAAAATGGAACAGCCAGTCCTGCCCCATGTCACCTTGCATCTATCTATATCATTCTTCACATCTTCCACAGAGTTTTTCAGGACCCAACCACGAAGTTCGTGATGCGACGGACGTTGAAAACCCGACCCCCCAGAAGCTATTGCTTCCACCATTTGCTCAAAATAAATCGAGTTCACAGCATCCAAAGGTGCACCGATATCATACAAAAACCTTCCTATAGCCATATGAATGTGATTGTCCACCTTCTTCGGAAACAACGCATTCTTCTCCACGGCGGCAACAACAGTCTCAGCCTCAGAGTTTGAATAAACCAATACTGCAGGATTCTTAGTAGCTCTAATCTTCTTCCTTCTCTCTACATTTTTACTCATTCCATCACCAGGAGATTGTAACATGTGACCTGAATTTTGTTCCACTGAATCATGAACTCCAATAGCCTGCACCATATGATTCACATCCATCTGATTAGAACCACCATTCAAAACAGTAGCTAAAGGATTAACATTCATAATCTCATCCTCAATTTTCTGTCTCTTCCTCTTCTTCACCACAACCCCATCCAAACTCTGCTGCATATGAACCCTAACATCAGCAGGAACACTGCTACACATTGAAGCATTCCCTTTCTGACAAGCAAGATGCTCCTTAAACCTATGAATCCCACCACCTTTGAACATCTTAAGACAATATATGCACTTGAGTTGCACTTTTTCACCATTCTTATACAGCTGACAATGCTTCCAAGCTGGGTCATGTTTTTGTGAAGTAATTGGCACCGGTTCAAGATTTGAATCCATAGAACAACCCAGTTAGTGTAAACTACAACAAACAACAAACAACTTCTCATCAGTCATTACCCAACTTCATATTCAATCACCACACTGATAAATTATCGTAAAGTTTCAATCTTTGAATCTTTGACTATAAACCTTAAATTTATCAAATAAAAAAACAAAAGTTTAAGAAGTGAAAACAGATACGAGGAAGAATGAAAGTACATACGCGGTTTATTGAAGGATGAGTGAGCGGGAGAGAAGAACCGAGTTCGTGTGAAAGAGAAGAGAACCGTAAAGATGGACCGGTTAGGGTTTACAGAAGTACTTCTCCGGTTGGGTTGGATTTGAATGGATCCGGTTTCAGCGGATGGTAACTGAACCGGTTTATTTCGGCACGAGGAATGGAAGAACCGATATTTGTGCCGATCCTCTCCTCCGAAGCCGGTCTTCTGCTGCTCGTGTATTTTTGTACACTTCTCGCACTGGTTTACCCTCAAACCAAACCCTTTTTTTAAAATTTAATTATTAAAATATAATAATAAACCGACTCGCCATTACTAAGCCCAAAACCACTCGATAAAAAAAGCCCACTTAATAGGCTAAGACCATCTAGCATGAATAATCTACTTGTCACTCCCCATAGCTATACTATACACACGATTCATAATATGTAAAATTAGGATTTTTTTAAATAACAAAAGTATTGAAAGAAAAACACAAATAACCACGTGTCGGATATAATTACGCGAATAACTATGTTTTAGAAATGAATTAAATGGATTAGCCTTTTCAAATGACATATCCAATCAAAATTTTAAAGTAGGTGTCAAATGAGATGACGTATAGGAGCATCTGATTTGTCTTAAGCTAAGTCATCTCGGATGACGCTTAGGTGTAATTCTATTTTTTATACTTTTTTTGTACAAAATAAAAAATAATTTTGTCGCAAATGAGACTTCGATTTTCAATTCAATAATAATGACACAAGTACATAATGAGAATAAAAGTTACATATTATTTAATTGTCTCTCGGGACTCCATAACGACTTGTGGTTTCACACTCGCGTCCTCGCCTAACTCGTCGTGTGTTTCGACAATTTTTCAGTTGTGGTTGGGTCGAGGGCCTTGCGTAGTCAATGCGTTCAGGGTCCATGAAATTCGTCAGATCACCATATCTGGAAGACTCAGTTTCAAGCAGTCGATTACCTATGCCCTCAAAGTTTGATCGTATTGGTGGGGGTGGGGTTCCATAGATGGTCGATAACTCTGGTCGTCTGAATAAGGGTGGTAAAAAGGAAATGAATCTTGTGGAGTTTGGTACTCATTATTTTGTTGGGTGCTTTGGTGATGTGATGGTTGATGGTATGTTGGGTCGGTTAGGAAATATTCTTCAGGTAGGCCCATCTCTGGGCTAAGATGAGATGATGAGGGACCCACATCAGGATGTCAGTTGTATGGTCTTTGTTCTTGGTATTGTGATTGTGTGTGAGGCATGTGTGTGTATTGATATTGGTCTTGAGTTTGGGGTTGGGTGCTTGTGCATCTGTATCGTCGTTGTGTTTGGTGGGAGGTTGACGTGTGTTGGGTTTGTTGTTGGATGGTGTATGATTGTTGGTAATGTTGTCAGGGATTTGAGGACGATGCTCATCATGTGCGTGGGTCGATCAAAGCCACAAACATTTTAGGATTAGTAACTGATCTGACCTGATCAGAAATGGACCGTCACGGCTGGCTCCGAGCAGAAAGCTTTTTTGAACGAGGTGGGGGGGGGGGGGGGGGTACCTGCAAGGCACTCCGATGCTGAAGTAAGTAGGAGTACGAGCAGATAATAGTAAGTTGAGGTTAGAATGATGAATACCTGACCCTCTGGAAACAGAGGGTATTTATAGCCCCCAGCGCTGGGCCAAGGTCCCTTCATTGGGCCGGGCGGATTTGGCCCAATGGAGGAACTGCCAGGTTCTACGTGGGTAGTGGGGACCCGCACGTGGTCCCCTTCCTGGATGTGTTGCGTGAAGTGCGGGCGGACGAAGACGCGGTCTTTCCGGAGTATCGTTGGGGGAACGGTGGACTGAGTCTGCCCTAGTTGGGATGCTCGAGACAACGTCGAGCTGGACAGCAGGGTGTCGAGCTGGACGTTAGGACGTGGAGCTGGACGGCAGGGTGTCGAGCTGGACGTCAGGAGGTGGAGCTGGACAGCAGGGTGTCGAGCTGGACGTCAGGAGGTGGAGCTGGACAGCAAGGTGTCGAGCTGGACGTCAGGAGGTCGGGCATGGATGTGACCCCTTTGCTCGGCGTGGTCCTCAGTAAGTCCCTTTGGATTGGGCCTTAGTAATGCTTTTGGGCCTGTCGGGCCCAGTCCAGAACAGGAGCCCCCCAAGTCGTGGTTCCTTTGCGAGGAGCCATGACTTGAACCCAAGTTATTCCCTCGTTGAGGTCTCGTGCCCGGGATAGAGGTGTGGGCCCTCGAGGGGCCTCCTCGTGTCGTGCTCGGAGACGTCCTCGGTGGTGGATGCGTGGAGGATCCTTACCGGGCGCGTCGGTCGAGCACACGAGGTATCTTTCGGGAACTGTGCCGCCACCCTATGGGGGTAGGGTCATCATTGCGTTGGGAGCAGTGCGTCGAGGAGATGGAGTCCGTGGTTGCCCGAGGTGACGTTTGGTATTCCACGTCATCACTATAAATAGGAACCTTGGGCCCCATAATACGTTTTCTGCTCTTTGTGCTCTCTCTGCTGCTGCTCTTCCAGATTTTCTCCAGTTGCGACTTCCCGTCAGATTCTTCCATTTCGTAGCCAAATCCCACTCTTTGATCCAAGTAAGTGATCTATCTTCTTCATTTTTCTGTTTAGAATGCATGATTTCTGGCGTTTGTAGATGTTTTAGGACCGTGCACGTGGGATTAGCCCGGTAAACTCGTGCTTAGCCCGACACATTCATGTCTAGGACCGGCAAACACATGTTTGTGGCCGGCACATTCATAGTTTAGGTGATAAACTTCAGAGCTGCCCGGGGTCTTCATGATCCAGGGCGCCTGATTCGTGATCGCGCCCGGTATGTTCATGGTCTTGGCCGTGGGCTTCATGGTGCGGCTCGCCATGTTCATACCTCGGGCCGACATGCTTGGAGAGTGGCCGCGCAGTTAGTTTGAGGAAGAACACCGGGTTCAGGACGTCGGGGAGGCAACCATTTTTGGAAACGGACTTATGTAGTCGTGTATGGGACGACATGATTTTGTCGAGCGTAGGACTTCGTGCTCAACTGACTGGTTTCCCGTGCTCTGCAGGTAACCATGGCGGACGAGCCGAGCTCCTCCGGACGTCGCGACCGCGAAGAACGGAGTGCCGACAAGTCGGTCACCCTGATTGATACCGTGACCGACCCATTGCTGGAATGGGTGGGCGTCGAGCCGCGGGGGATAGCGTCGGTATATAGTCGGGACGACCGACATCCATTCGCTGTCATTGAAGAGGGTCAAGACCAGCCCGGCTTCCAACAAAACTTCGTAGTTATGCTTCCGTCAACTCGTGCAAGGATTTGCTCGGTTTATCCGAATTACAGCCTCGCGATGTATGAGATCGCGTTCAAAGACCTAGGGTTGCGGCTGCCATTCACTGATTTCCAGGCCGGGGTCTTTATGCACTTGGAGCTGGCCCCGTCCCAGCTACACCCAAACTCTCTCGCCTTCATCCAGGCGTTTGAGTTGACGTGTCGATACCTGAGGATCGGGGCGACCATCCCGCTTTTCTTCCGGATATTTCACCTGCAGCGTCAGTCCCGAGGAGGGAAACATAGCTGGGTCTCCCTGAAGCAGTCGAGGAGGCTCTTTAAGATGTATATGGACTCCGTGAGGGGGTTTAAAGACAAGTGGTACGTGGTACGGCCAGTTACCGACGCTGCTTTAAATTCCCTTTTCGAGGAGGAGGGGCCGGTGAGCGACGATGATGGGGAAACGATGATGGGCGACGATGGGAGCCCTGTGTTGGGTCGTAGGGCTAAAATCCCGGTATACTAGATGTCCCGGCATTACGAGCATGGGACCGGTTATTACCATACCGCCGCCGGGGACATGTGCTCGGAAGACGAGCGGGCGTACGACACTCTTTGTCGGTTTGTTGACAGTTTCCATCCCGCCCAATGGGTTACGCAGGAAGGGGATGATATCCTGGACAAAGACGGTTACCCGACGTTCGAGTCCCGTACGATTGACACCAAGGCGCTGGTGGAGTGCCCGACATACAGGCAGGCTGCCCGCCTGTTAGGTTGTTTGTTGCTTGAAATTCTTTATTCGTCATTTACTCATGAAGTTTGCTCGATACTGACTTCTCCTTTATTTCGTGCAGGTACGATGGCTAGCCGACATGAAAGGCTCCTGAAGTTATCCTGCGACCAGAGGCGAGGCAGGAGGGTCGTGAAGCCCCCACAGGCGACGAGAATGGGCCCATCATAAAGTCCAAACGCTCCTCAGTCGGCGAGGGTGGAATCACCGTCGAGCTCGGGGCCCGCGTCGGATCCAGAAGTCGAGGAGATCGACCCCAGTGCCATTTTGATGCAGCGGAAGAGGACCCGTGTGGAAGGTAGTCCGACTGTCGGTGAGGACGCTGGTGCTGTTAAATCTTTCGCCTTCCCCCCTTGCTTCGAGGAGGCGGGCTTTTTCGAGCGATTTCCTCCGACAGTGGTTGCCCATGAGGCTGCCGCCATAAAAAAGATGAGTAAAGAGGAACGGAAGGCGTATCTGGCCGCCAGCGTGGATGGGCTGGTAAAAATGGCCGAAATGGCCTTGGTGCTATCTGAGGATGGAGGGGATGCTGCCCGTGTTGAAGAACTCGAGCAGGAGAAGGCGGCGATGACCGCGAGCTCGCGGAAGTTGAAGGTCGCTCTGGAACGCTCCGAGGGGATGTTCCGAGAGCAGACCGCGATGCTCGATGCTGAGAGGGAGATGTTGACCCTGGAGAAGGAGAAGTCGGGGAAGTTGACTGAGGAAGGGGAGCTTCTTCGGGCAGACAGGGATCGCCTGGCGGCCGAAGTCGAACGCTTGGGTAAACAGGTCGAGGAAATGAATGCTGCTCTGCAACCTGCCGAAGATGAGCCCGAGGACATAGTAGCTTTGAAGAGTCGGGTGGAGCTGGTCGCCCACATCCGGCTCCTCGAGGTGGACTGCGTCGGTGCCCTGGAGGACGGGTTCAATTCTGCGGTCGGTCAGCTCTCCTTGCTAAACCCTGGCCTGGTCACTGAGGGTATCGGTCACACACACCGGATAGTGGATGGCGTGATCGTTCCTCCGCCCGACTCTCCGAACGCCGACAATGATGATTCCGTGGAGGTCTGAATAGGATAGCGGGCCTGCGTGCCCTTGATATTTGTATTCTTTGGGCCTGCGTACCCGTTTATTGTACGTTGTGAACATCGCCGGCCTTCTTGGTCGGTTTATTAATGTTTTATCGCCTTCGGGCATTTATATCAATGCTGTTTTACACTTTGCATGTTTTGCCCTTGTTTGAAATC